GGCTCCCTAGTGCAGTTACCGGTCCAACAGATATAACATTGATATTTAAATCTTGAAATTGGGAAAAGAGTTTATAAAACTCATCCGCTTCTTTTTCTTCAATATTGTCAAGCTGGTTACAACCATTTGAACATGTTTTACCTTCAGTGCAAGTATTGCATTCCGATATATCATCTTCTGAATCATTTGAAGAAATAGATTCACTCTGAGAGTAATCTTTGTCTTCATTTGTATTAGAATTTTCTTTCTCAGAATTATAATTAAGAAAGATGCTTAAAAGAGAGTTTTTTATAGTTTGGTCATTTTCCAAACTGTTTATTTTCTTTTTGGTCCAACAATTTGTTTCTGAATGACCAATCTTTCCACAATTTATGCAAACAATTTTGTTTCTTTTGAAATTTCTGGGTTTAAAATCATTTGATTTTTAAGACTTCTTTTTACAGGATTATTGTCCTCGAAACCTTTTTTGTTATTTTCAAAATTTCTTCTTCTTTTAGGCTTTCTAAAAGAGTGAGGGTTTTCTTTTCAATTGGAATTCTTTTGAATGGTTTTTCTTTTGGAAGGTCTTTTATGAGAAACTTTCATTCCAAATTGATCACAAAAATCTCCCAATTGTTTTCTTTCAAGAAAGTTTTGCTTTTTAATTTGATGGTTTAATTTTAAATCATTGCAGAGGGAAAGACCTTCAGCAACGCAAGTGTTGATCAACTGACCATAAGTATAATGGTCATAATTAACAGAAATATTTTCCTTTTTAAGAGTCTTTCTGAATTTCTCAGCAGTTTTAAACATATTGTTAAAACCACTGAATCTTCAATTCCTCTCCATAAGGATGAGATAATAGAGTCTTTCTGATTTTCTCAGCAAAAAGATGAGGAAGACTATCAATAAATTTGGCCTTCCAATGACTGTTATTGCAGTCTTTGAGTTCCAAATCCTAGACAAAAAAGTGTCTTTATACCACCTGAATTCACTAAGAGTCTTGCATCTAAGATTACTAATCAGGGTTCTAATATTTTCACTATCATCAGAAAATCTACCCGTAAAATGCTCAATGATAGTGAGAATGAGAGGATAAACGACATTTGTCTCTTCTTCTCCTCTTTCTGTTTTGACAGAATTATAAATCTGTTCTTTCTGGTCTTGTGGGATGTAATTATCCCACCAGCCTTTTAACTGGCCAGTAAAATCGGCAATGATCATTTTAGCAATATTTTTATCAGTATTGCTTGTATTTTTACAAACAGTGCTATACATAAGCATGCGATAAGCCATATTATAAATATGTTTGCCAGTGAAACCGTCTAAGCTCCATTCATAGATACACTTACCATTATAACTATTGTTAATAATGTACTCTTGTTCTTCATGAAGAACATCCATGGGAGTAGGTCGATCATAATAATATTTATTTAAATTAGGCTTATTAGCCCATTTTATTTTATAGATCTGGTCGTCATTCTGATTGTCATCGGAATCTTCGTTATCCTTATCAAGGATAGAAACAGAAGGCCTAGATATATGTAAACCTTTCAACTTATTTTCAAGTTGCTCTATGAAATCATCATATTTATTTTTCAACTTAAAATCTTTTATTTCAGGAGGGGGTTGGA